CTCACATAGCGCACAAGATTGGCAGCAAAAAAAGAAGAAGAAGAAGTTAAGGCCACAGTTTATTAAAACTGTGGTTCATACCAATTTCAAGATTTCAAGCCTTTGAAACGTTGCAGTATGTGCCACATGCCAGCTTCTTCCATAGGCAGCTCGCGCCCGATCGCACAACATCACTTCACTATCTTCGATCGAATTTTCTGCGATTTCGATAATCGCCTGATTGGATTGGGGGGTTTCCTTGCTATCCATCTTGTTGCGAAAGGCTTCGACACCCTTCACGTGCTTTTGCATATCTAGGAAGCGGATGACATCAGGAAAAATAAGAATAATGCGGAGGTGGAAGATGCGGGGAGGAAAACGCGGAGAAGCATTGCTCAAAAACTGGGGAATCCTTTGAGAGACAAATAACAGGTTGACTGACCATCGGTAAGTTCACATACTCTCTTCAACAATTCAGTCCAGGTGATGTACCCCACTAACGTCGGACGATATTTCCGTCGCACAAGAGACCGGGGCCAGGTGTTAATGCAGTACAACCACCTATAGTCACCACTGGGAGCTTATGTTTGAGTCGAAATCACCCGTCATTTAATAAAATTGCTAAAAATACCATTTACGAGATTATATATACACGTTCCCTTTTCTTACTCCCAACCCGTCTTTATGTTCTCTAGTTAGTATCCTTACAGCATGAGACTCCATAACGATCGAGGCCTAGCAAGGTATCCAACCTTCGGGCAATGAGTACATGCTACATGTTAGCCAAATACTGTCAAATCCTTGACCCAAAGCTCCTAGGCTATCTCTAGTCATGATTCACGCTGAAGTTATGAAACTAAGGCAAGTAATAAGCTGCTTGTCACGATCAAATTCGCCAGAGGTAGGTACAGATTCGCCTTCAGGCTTCCAAGATTCTGGGAACCCTTACTTCTTTTATATCTTGAAGGCCCGCCGGGCTCAAAGTAGTCAAATCTAATATGCGTGGATGTCACTTCACTAAGTTCGCGTCATGGAGTGGATGTAGACAAAGCAAGCTCTCAGCCCTTCTAAATTCTGGCAATTTTTAGTGTATACGGCTTGGGACAATAGTTTGGTCAAGGCAAAATATTCACATGAGAATATACAGGGAGTCTTCAGCTTTCTATTCAAGTGTAATTAGCATCGGTATAAGCATCGAAACATGTTCATGAACTACATTCCAATCATCTTGGATGGAGTCCTACGTAAATCTCTGTATGTGACCCACCTCAGGGATATGGTTTCCGAAGGGTGCCAGAACTGGACTAGAACCCAGATACTTAGTAAGGGATGTGACAATTCTAGCCCAAGCACATGATCAATCCAGCTTGAGAAAGTTTACCCGCCATGTTCCCCAGAGCTATTCGAATGGGCATGCGGGGCCATGCGGGGAATTCATGGCGAGGCGAGGGGAAGCGAATGTTTCTCTCTTGCAATCTCCATCCAGAGGCTCTCGGCCAGCATCAAAGTCTTGCCTCCGTGCAGATACCCAACAGATATACGATCAATTGCGAGATATCTTCGCTAGCTCATACCCATGCATCAGTATATATTAGACTCTCAATATTGAACCTGCGTACGGTACAGAAGATTACATACCAAGAGCGACCAATTTCTCAAACATGCCGGTCACCGGCACCGAGCCGTCCACGATAAGCACCAAAAGGAGACGTCATGTTACCACAGCCTGCGTTCCATGTCGCGAAAGTAAAGTAAAAGCAAGTTCAATGGATTCTCTACGCGATGAGAACGCGTTATTTTACCAATCGCCAGGCTGACCGAATATCCTGCAGTGCGATGGTGTCACCCCTGAGTGCTCCCACTGCAAACAGAAAGGCAAAAGTTGTCGGTATCAGTTCGGCGATGACAAGAGGCGGTACATTCTCCCAAGGCGGTTCTACCACACGTCCAACATGCTTATTCTCTTACAGGGTCTCTCATCGCGTCGCGGTCGACATATTGTTTGAGCGGATCGGACAGCTTCAGGCCTTCATCTCCAAGCACAATCTTGAGCCGCCGGAGTGGAATAAGGAGTCGGAATCAGTTCTGAGCAGGCTTGGGTTCGATCATCATTTAGTTGCAAATGAAGGCCTTTCGAATTTCGTCAATATTCAGAACCACCGAGAACGCACACAGAGTAATTCGCCAGCCACGCCAGAAGATCAGCTCGAGCAATTTACAAACATATCCCCCAAAGCTCAGTGCCGTTCTAGGCTTGAAGGTGTTTGTATTCAGGCATCAGGACCTTCTTCAGGTGTCGCTGTCACCGAATCTCCACAGTTTGTTGAGACATTAAACACGGACACCTCAATAAACGCCGTTACGAACAGCGACACCTCACCGACTGCGTTGGCCGTTGAACAGGCGATGGGTGATCTACACTCGAGCGACTGGTGCAGCATAGACGCAGAGGCAGCAATAAGCGCTCCAGATCTATTCAACCTCAGCCCGGAAGCATATCTTCAATGCCATCACCCCATCACCTTATATGAGCAGTCCACTTTCATCCCAGATGCCAGCTGTCCATCGTTATCGGACGGGGCCTCGAGCGAGATTGATGCAACGGAAGCTCTTGTAGATCAGCTTTCTGATCGCGTGGGTACTCTACAGATCAGTCCTGATGGACAAACACGATTCTATGGGCCAACGTCAAACTTCAACCTTGTTGATATGCCAGCCCCAGACAACCTCACTGTTCACCGGACTGTACGCTATGACGGTTCTGACTACCTTGAGCGCTTGGGTCTTGAGAAGGAAGTCCCCGCTGAACTCGAGCGGCACCTTACAGATTTATATTTCGCCTGGCAGGATCCTTCACTTCACGTAGTCGATCAAACCATGTACGCTGAAGCGAAGAGACGTTGGAGAGACGAGGAAGAAGAAACACCATACTACTCTGAATCTTTGTGCAATGCAATGTAGGCTCATTTCCTAGAGACTTCCTTTTTTTCAGCTTTTGGTTTTTGCCTTTTGATCAATGCTTACCAAATTCTAGCTGTGCATTAGGTGCAGCGTTCGAACCTCGCTATCACCCATCTTTTGTCACCTTCCCAAGATCCCTAGCGGATTTTTTTGCTGATAGAGCGAAAACACTGATCGAAATCGAGCTGGACTGTCCCAGTGTTGCCACTGTTCAGGCACTGGTTGTCATCAGCGGCCACGATATCGGGTGTAAGCGGGATGCTCGTGGCTGGCTCTATAGTGGTTTGTGTTTACCCAAACGTACGTGGACTGAGCCATGTTTCTGACTTCAATGCAGGAATGGCAATGCGGCTGGCCTTCCACCTGGCCTTGCATATGGACATGACAACCTACGTAGAAAGGGGGATTTTGAAACCAGAAGAGGCTGAGATTCGACGGACTGCGTTCTGGGGTGCTTATATTGCCGACCAGTCAGTCTATTCCACTCTATTTGACAATAAAATGACATGATCATGCTAATAGAAAGCCCTTCCAGCTTGTGGGGACTCTTATTGGGTCGACCATTCCGAACGAACATGGAAGATGTCACAGTTGACAAGCCAAAAGAAATCGCAAATATGAGCACTCCCCAGATCTGGGTTCAGTACTCCTCTGCACAGCCCGGAAACGAGGGCCTTTCCTTGGCTGATTATACTGAAACAATAAGTCGTGAGCGGATATCGTTGTGCGAGATCATGGCTCCACTGGGATATGCATTGTAAGTCGGAGAGTCTGCTACCTCCTTCTGAATAGAGGGTTAACTAAACCATATAGGTATGGCTGCAGGACTATACCACCAATGGTACTGCAAGAAATGAACATGAAAGCTGTCAATGACCTCTTAAATTGGAAGAATAACCTTCCTCAGGAGCTTCAAGTTGACTTGGAAAACGTCAAGAGGCCATACCTACCACATGTCCTCTTTCTCCAGTAAGGCCCATTCATCATACTCCAGCAAGTAACCGTGCCCTCTGACACAGTTCGGTAGCATGCAATATTATCAAAACATGATCCATGCACATAGGCCATGGATGTCCAGGCTTGGCCAGCCGAACCCTCCAAAAGGCCCCGGCTGCGAGCACGCTCGTATGATGTGCATCGAATCCGCCGCCACCATTGGGAAGCTTCTCTACATCTACGAGCTACAGTACTCATTTAAGCGGATGAATATCCACGGCGTTGGTATCACTTGTTCTGCCGCCTCCCTTCTCATCTTCGCCTCGATCAGTAACAACACGACACTGTCCCCTCACGACACGGCATGCCACCTCAACGCCTGTCTACGTGCTTTGGATTGTTTTAGCTCGTCATGGGAGACGGCCAAGAAAGCGCGCGATTTCCTGGCCATGCTTCAGCGGAAATGGGGCATACAAGGGCGCGGCGGCACAACTGGGAAGAAACGGACCAGAGCGCCAAGCTTAAGTAGACATTTGGAGAGGCATCAGTCGCTCAAGATGCATCCAACGGGGCACAAGAATACCGTCAGTGCCATGGGCCAAGAGGCAAGCATTGACTTGAGTTGGTTTCTAAACGATGATAGTTATATTGTTTAAGCAAAATGCGATGTAACTGTAAATCAGATTTTCTATTTTCCTTATGAGTGCAGGTATTGACATTAATACGTTCACCTGCTCTCCCGTAACTGTAATCATTTTTGCATAAAACCTCACATTAGGTGTTTCGAAATCTATTAGCATCATGGCTGGTCAGAGCTCAAAATAGACCCCGAACCTTATAAAACATGATAAACCAACCATTCAGGCAATACATAAATGAATTAAAAACATGTGTTTTCATAATCAGGTCAACATGAATTGATTACTACTTGGTAAGGTAGGTTGAGGCGATAGGGTAGGCAAAACAAGTCGGAGGACGGCCATTGGTCGGGAGTGCTCACGTAAGCACTTTCTAGAGTCCGGTCTCGGATATTGACGTCTCTCCTCTCAAATTTCCACGCGATCTCCGTGTCAAGCATGTCGGTGTTATCGCATCATGTGACATGTCTTGGTTAGCACGTTGAAATGTCTCAGCAGAATGCACTCAACAGCCATTCGAGGTCCATCCCGCCAACTGAGATTGGTAGCTTTGTAGCTCTCGGCGCGTGCCGGAGCGAATTCATTGGCAGCGCGAGTGGAGTCTTCTTTGCCAACACCGTTTTCAAGGCCTTCTCAGATCTCCCAACATCCCGGGAAGTCGGCAACAGCAAAGATCTTCCGAACAGGCTACCTGCCCCAGAGCCAGCACATAATTATCTCGCGGGCTCAGAGACGGAATCGTCCCAGCAAGATGGGACACACTCTGGCCAGGTTGCCCAGTCCAGTGGGTTTTCGGTCTTGGGAATGCTCCCTACACCCCGAATGTCAAAGGAGCTTACAATGGCTTATTTTCGGCACTGGCACCCTGTATTTCCCTTCCTCCACGGACCCACGTTTCTCGAAGAAGTGAACAAGGCATACGGCGGTGTGGAAGGCGAGTCCGTTTCCTTCCTGTCCAAAGGGCCTCGTCCACAAGAGGACCTTTGCCGGATGGTTACTGTCCAGTGTGTCTTTGGCATTGCAGCAACTACACCTGGGCTTCAGCTTGAGCACGCTTGTCGCATCCAGTCAACCCAAGGCTTAGTGCAGCTTCTTGGCTCTCTTTACAACAGCCCAGATATCCTTAGTCTTCAGGCTCTACTGGCCGCAGAGCTCTATATGATAACCGTCATGTCCCTTCGAGCCGCATCCACGGTGCATGGTGCTCTGACACGGATGATGTACCACGCAGGTATCCACAGGTGTCCCTTCCGTTATCTGCAACTGCCTGAACCGGTGAGGGGCATACGGAAACGCATCTTTTGGTGTGCCTACATCTTTGACCGACATCTTGGACAAGCATTGGGACATCCCCTCAGCTTTAACGACATGGATGTAGACGTTTGCGTGCCCGGTATGCCAGAGCTGCACCGCCCTGCCTCATTTAACCAGCCGGCGGATACCCCCGGGGATGATAGCCCTGAGCTGGTCTTGGCCCATCTTCCCCAAGGCCGGCGACAAGAGCGTGAGCATCTCACGGGAATGACCGTTGAATCGCCGTTTGACGGATCTCAGGTAGAGCCAGGACTTCGTGATTCTTCGGAAGCACCGCCAACATCGGGCGGCGAGAAGCAGGAAACAATATTGGGGCTAGTAGCAACTCACGCACAACTTCTCGGGACAATACTTAATCTCTTTCATAATTCTATCCACACCCGTTCGGTTGATCTGGAGAGTGTACAGGAGATTACGTGCCGCGTCCATTCCTGGTGGAACCGACTACCTCTTTCCATTCAAGACAGCCCACTGGAAGGAACAAACGATCTTACATCACGCTACCACGTGTTTTTCACCACCTTATATAACCACAGCCTCCTTCTTCTCAACCGCCCTTTCCTCTCGCTCCCAAGAGAAAGAATCGAGTTCAAGTGTAGTCTTCAAGCAGCCATCAACGCTAGCCACTCGCTTCTTATCGACGTGAATCAGCACCTGGAAAATGGGTTATTCTTATCTTGGCCCACGACACTGTCCGCTGTCTGGACCGCTGGCCTTGTGGTATCCTTCTCCACCCTGCTGGATCAATACCCTTTTTCCAAATCTAAGTGGTAATGTATTTCGGCTCCTGTGGTATCGAGAGATGTTCTTCTAACCGTCACATCCCAGTGAGCTTGAACGGTGCCTTGCCATCTTAGATCGAATGGCAAAGAAATGGTCTAGCGCGCGTCAATGTCACGCTGCCCTCAATCTTCTCTCTCGAAAGCTTATCACCAAATACGAGATGCCAGACATGCGTCCACCACCACGAAGCCCGCGAAGCCATAGTATAGTTACACCAAACAGAAGAAGGGATCCTAGCGTCTCTTCGACCCCGAGAGTTTCCAAGAGGCAGCGGGTTGAAGACCCAGGAGAACCTGCTCGAGAGGGCCCCTATCAAAATGCGCAATGGGCCGCGAGCCTCTACCCGAGCGAGTCAACTTTTCAAACATCGCCCAATTCACTTGCAGTACCGCAATACATAGGTCCTGATTTTGGTTTCGACACATCACTGCCGGATGAATTTGGCGAAGGCCAAGATTTGATGCAAGAAATTCTCAATCTTGATTATAGCACGCTATTTAGCGGCTCTATTTGAATCGTTCAACTACGTCGCTCTGGTGCTGAATTATGGAAAGTATGGAGTAGCATGGCGTGATAAGCTAGGCAGTGCCGTGACACAATATGTTTTGCTTGTTTATTTGGTACTGGCATATCTGGTTTCTACCACAAGAATTGGCTTTGAAACTCAGCAGGAAGATCTATCTTTCCGCGAACACCAGATCTACCGTCTCTATCATCTGGAGGTTTGTCCACAGTCTCTCCAGAATGACCCCTCTTGTCTGATCTAAGCGAAGCTGAATTATGCGATGTTAGGAAGCCACTTTGTTGCAGTGCGCAGACTTCAGCTGGTCTACGATTTTCGTTCCGGTTTGGATGGCGGACAGCCGCCGGAACTTGTCCTAGAGCTGGCCCGCCAATAGATGATGACTGGCTTTTCCTGACGTCTGCTGAGATATCGGCAGATGTTTTTAGTTCGCCATGTTTAATGCTTCTGACCCACTCGTTGATCCCATCGACAGTTTTAAGAGATGTCTTGTCCCATTGTGTCATCAATGATGCCTCGGCCCGTTCGCCCTCGGGAAGGCCCTCCCCAGATTCCGCTTTTGCCTGGCGGTTAGCCCAGATGGACTGCGCCAATTCGAGCGTGTCTGATTCGAAGGCACTGTCAATCGTTTCAGGATTCGAAACGAGTAAGAGTTGCAGCAAAGCCAGCTCTGTATCCCCCAGTCGACGCTCAAGTGCTTCAGTGTAACCCTTTGCGGGACCTCTGACAGCAAAGTGTCAAACATTTATTTGCGTTTGTCAAGTATGGCTTCGACTTACCGTCTGCGGGCTGTGGGCCAGGTGCATTTGATGCCAAGCACTTGACACCGGGAGCATTCGGGTCTTGTCACGTCAATGAGATTTTGGAGGGCAGTTACCAATACATATTGTAGTATCTCACCTCCTTTCATTGCACTGCCCGAGTAGAGTTAGCCAAGTTTCGGTGATGGATGAGGGTAATGAAGAGTTTCGCTCACCTTTTGCTTCCGTGAGCGACAGGCGATACATGCTGCTTTGCCTCGAACTGGAGGCATTCTGTAATCAAAGAAGGAGGATCCACTCGGATATGGCTCACTTAGGGATACTGTGACCTACTAGACCTGCCTTTGTAAATCGCCCTGGAAATTATCGATATTGAACTGCCACAGGACATATAGATGCCGATGTCGGTAGACTGTTCCGAGGGCCCGACGTCACGATTCGGCGGTCAATCTTTCAACCGCAGCGGGGTTTTCACGTGACGACTCACAGCAGCTTGCCATGGTCCAAATGCGCTTATACCTTTAGCCGACGATCAAACCGAGCCCAGCGATCTCGGTGACCCTACATTTATTTAAACATAAAGTCACTTTTCTAGCAGATCTTCCCGTTATCGTTATTCAATACCATCTTCTTCCTAGTGTTATCATTCAATATGTCTTCTAAAACCCTTCGAGTTGCCGTCATTCCTGGTGACGGCATTGGCACCGAGGTCATGCCATGGGGCGTCAAGTGTCTCCAAGCAGCGGCCAAGGTCTTCAATATCTCTATAGAATTTGAACACTTCGACTTTGCAAGCTGCGAATACTATCAGAAGCACGGAGATATGATGCCAGCCAACTGGAAAGAACAGCTCATCAGCTTTGACGCTATCTACTTTGGCGCGGTCGGAATGCCGAGCCTTGTGCCCGACGACGTGTCACTCTGGGGTAGTCTTCTCAAGTTCAGGCGAGAATTTGATCAATATGTGAACCTCCGACCATGTCGTCTGATGCCTGGGGTCAAGTGCCCTCTCGCTGGCAAGAAGCCTGGCGATATCGACTTCTGGATCGTTCGCGAGAACACAGAGGGTGAATACAGCTCCGTCGGCGGAAAGATGTTTGAGGGAACAGACCGAGAGGTCGTTATCCAGGAGACAGTTATGACGAGGACCGGAGTTGACCGCATCCTTCGTTACGCCTTCGAGCTAGCCAAGAGTCGACCGAGGAAGAGGCTGACAAGCGCTACCAAGAGCAATGGAATCAGCATCACCATGCCATACTGGGATGGCCGGGTCAGCGAGATGCATAAGAACTACCCGGAAATCAACCTAGACAAGTATCATATTGATATTCTTACGGCTCACTTTGTTGGGAGGCCGGAAATCTTCGACGTCATTGTCGGCAGCAATCTGTTTGGCGATATCCTATCCGACCTGGGACCAGCCTGCACTGGTACCATTGCCATTGCGCCCTCAGCCAACATCAACCCTGAGGGTAAGTTTCCCAGTCTATTTGAGCCCGTGCATGGAAGCGCGCCGGACATTGTAGGCAAGAACTTGGCCAACCCAATTGGAATGATTTGGGCTGGTCAGATGCTTCTCCAGCACTTTGGGTATACAGAAGCCGCAGACGCTTTACTGAAGGCTATTGAGAGGATATTGGAGCGCTCTGAAGCCTCAATTTTAACTCCTGATATGGGTGGAACGGGAACAACTCAGGCTTTGGGAGAGGCGATTGAGCGTGAGATTCTGAGCTTGGCGGGGAAATGAACAGATTAAATACAATAAACTAAAAGAAAATTGAAATCATATATCATTTCTATTCCTCAGAGGGATAAAACAGAACATTATAATGCGCCCCTAGTAAATATGCAATATGTTGGATACCAAAATACACTTTTCAAGAACCTTTCCCATCAGTCATGACACTCCAGCTTTGATGCACAACAATTCCGCCACCCTTTGAGCCATCTCTTCCTTCCTCAGTTGATGCCTGGTCGGTCTCTTGGCCAGACTGCTGTCCATTTTCCGTGGCGGAGGCATTCGCGTTGGAGCCCGCTACGTGGTCGATCATCTGATAGGCATCTTCATCGCTGTCTATCCTGCTGAGACCTGAGTTCCCCCACCATAACCCGCTGTTATTAGATGCATTCTGCCTGGACCGAAGGACGCGACCCCCGCTAGAGCCTGTATTCACGCCCGCCGGGTCAGTGTTGGGACGTCTGCCAGGCGTATTCTGCCCATTCGCGCCGTAAGATAGAGAAAAGAAACGTCCCAACCCAATCGCCTTCAGAATATGTCGCATACTGGGCAGGCAAGAACAAACGAGCCCTATGTTGACCTCGACGATGGACCAAAGCATGAAGTCTTTGAGGTTATATGTAGTGTCGTGATCGTCAGTGGCGATTGACATGACTATTGTCAGTCGAATAATGGAGACAATGCAGATGAACAGGCCCAGCAGGAAAAGGCCAGCAAGTATGAGCCGCTGCTGAAGAGCAATGTTCAGCCTCCAGACGTACGGAATTGGCATCAATACAAGGATCAGATCCGTTATAACATTTGGTAGTGATGCGCCGAGATAGATGGACTTTGGCGGCACGCATTTCGCAGTTGCCATTGCCGCTACATCCCATTGCGCGCGGATGGGCAGACAACCAAACGCTCCAAGATAGACCTGAAGGCAACACGCGTTAGAGATTTGTGCTACATACAACAATGGGATAGGGCATACTTACAAAAGCGATGAGCCATGCCACGACAGACGCGGCTAGGATTCGAATCGGCCATCTTGCTGCGACGGAAAAGAGCTTCCAGTAGAAAGCCAATATAGTGAGTTTGATGAATCCGATGGATACCACGTATGATATCGATGCAACGTATAGACACTTGAGGAAGCTTTCCAATTGTTCCGAGTTTACTTCCGATTCGCCGGTCCCAACATGTCTCCCGAGGTAGGGTCGGACACCTATACAGCTTGAACAATCAATTAAACCGATCTGCACGAAATGTGTTTTTTTAACTCCAAAAGCACAAAAATTGCTTCTCTTACCGATCATGTTATCCCAAAACCAGACATTGGCGAAAGCCAAAGTGGCAACGGAGAGCCAGTCGTCCCATCCAATGCTTTTCCAGCCGCTCACCTGCGTTCTACACCAAATCTTCATGGGAACGACTATCATGAGCAAGGCATACGTCGAGATGGCCGCGCCATCGAAGCGGACCCGGAATGCCTCATACGACTCCTGCCCCGCCATCGCGCTGTTGGTCACATCGAACAGCAGTGTGAGAAGTGACAGACGGGGGCGCGGATGAAGATTCGACCCATTTATGGAGCAGAGATTTAAGATCTGTTTTTTTAGCCAAGCCAAATACCCCATCGTCCGTCTCTTGGCTGATGAGTAATAGGAGTACGTGGATTGTTCCTCTCTGATATGCTTCCAAGCAGAGGACTAAACAAGGATTTGGCAGTTAGCCTACACTAAACTTCTGGTGCACCGCGTGTAGTGCAGAATATCCCTGGTCCGGAAAACTGCATTGGAATGGTTCCCCTGCCTCGCGAATCATGGCGCGTTTTGTGTCTCATTAACCTAACTCCTTTCAGCATAGACGCCTCCTATCATCCTTCGTTCCTATTCGCGTGTGCGTAGGATGAGCTGAGAAGAAATCACTGCCAATGCAAACTTACCATGTACGGAGTAGTGTCGATAGTAGGTATTAATCTATTTCGGATCCTCTAATCCTTGCTCCCCGGTAGAAAGCCGACGAGTAAATCTGGCTCCAAGCAACCCAACAATGCCTTTATGTATCCGGACAAAGGGGAATCTGACGAGGCTTTGCAGTAGTGTGCTACCAAAGTCAAATAAGTGAGAGAAAAGTCTACGCTCAAGCTCACGAGAGAAATTCCCATCTGCTCTATTGGGAGCCGGGTTGCTTTGACAAGCCGTTATGATGCACTGCATTAGCCTCAATAGCTGCCCAACACTTGATCGGCATGATCGGCTATCCCGGTCAATTTCCACGGTCCCATCTTGGCAGGTGCGATCCCGGTTATCTCCACGAGCAAAAGGTCCATAATGTATGTATTCAACCTAGCCAAATGCCCAGCTTCTGAGCGCGCACCAGCTACGTGTCATAGAGACACCTACCCTGTACCTAGTGTCGTCTAAGATGAATTCGAATTCAGCAACTAACAATTGAATCACCCGTCGCAAGCTTTCTCGGGAATTCGCCGTATTGAACACAATCCTGTTCTGACTATGGGTTTATTGATCAAATCGTTGGAAGGAAAGTATTTACGTATTTTAGTCTAGCAATTCATATACACACCAAACCTTGAAGACTAAGATGGCAAATAGGTCGTAGGATATTCCCGGATTTCCATTCGAGGCTCATTCAAGCCAGCCCACTAGGCATGGTCAAGAGTAAAATCCGAACTACTCGCCGTCGTGTTTACTATTCTTTCTGTCTGTAGTAGAATCAATATTCAAAAATATTAGAGTATATCTTGGCTAATTGAAATCATCTACCCCCAGACCCAAGTGTTTCTTTGTATCCCTATGAGAAAAGTTAGATTGGTTTGCCACCATAGGAGTATATATGTCCTTGGAAAAAGAATTTCTGCTTCAACTATGTGAGCATGGATAGTAGAAATATAACTTTAGTAAAGTAACACTTTAATGGGATACAAAACTCGTGGAACTATTCACAAAAGTGGAATTTGTATCTAATATCTACCGAGATATCGTATGTGGCAACAAGTTGCGAGAGATAAGTATGATGGAGATCAATGATCTTTACAACTTAGATCCAACAAGACTTCATGCCTCCTGGTGCCCAAGTCTTGCATCATATACCTCTCGCAGAATACGATCCTTCTTCGCTGTATCATCCACACCGCTTCGATCGTTGAACACTTCATCCATTTGCTCCAAAGTCTTTCCATTAGTCTCTGGGACACAAAACCAAACCCAGACTAAGGAAAGCAAACAGAACACTGCAAAGAACACGTATGCACCGAAACCTGTCTGCTGAACCAGAGGAGGCGTAATGAGTCCAATGATGAAGTTATTGATCCAGTCTGAGATGTTAGCAGAGGCCAAACGGGGGGTCAGAGAGTAAAAGATGGCCATGGGGACTTACTCGAGCATGTAGAAATCGCGACACCTTTCGCTCGTAAGCTCGAAGGGAAGATCTCGGCGGGCATCGCCCAAGGAACAGGGCCCCATGAAGCACCAAAGGCAAGCATGTAAAAGAGCAAAAAGGCGACGCTGGTCCATCCCTCTGCAGTATGGTTGGGCCAATCCTTGGAATACTTTCCAACTAGAATGGCAATAATCAAGTGAGGGACAAACATCAAGAAACTGCCGATAAGTAAAATAGACCTGCGTCCGAACCGATCCAGTGTCCAGAGACTGCTGAGCACACCCACCAACTGCGTGACATTAAGCACGCCGGACATGATGAGCTGCATGTTATAATCGAGACCCATGGTACCAAAGAGGGTGGGTGAATAGTAAATCAGCGCGTTGATGCCCACAAACTGCTGGAAGAACATGATCCCTGCTCCGACGAGTGTGCGTCGCCAACAGCCAGGCTTTAGACAATCTGTCCAGCTAACAAACTCCAGCTGGATTTTCCCGGCAGCATCAGTCCTGGATGTAAGCTGGGGGTGTCGCTCTCGTAGAACGCTGGCCTGGAATCTAGCTTCGGCAATGATATCCATCCACTCACGTTGGACGCGGCTGTCGGTTTCTGGTAACCCTCGGAGCTTGGCAAGGTTGGATAAGGCTTCTTCCTCACGATCATTGGAAGCGAGCCACCGAGGCGAATAAGGGAGAAAAATAGCTCCGAACCCGAGCAGTAAACCGGGAAGAATTTGCAGGAGAAAAGGTAGCTGCCAGGACCAGTTACTGGGCATATCTTTGGTGCCATATGTGATCCAGAAAGCCACCACAATACCGAACACGATGGACAGCTCCTCGAACACAAGCAACGAGCCACGGATTTCTGGGGGCGAAATCTCCGAAATATAAAGGGGAACCACCATCGAAAGCCTGTACATCAACCGCCGCCAGTTAAAAACAGCACCCAAGAAGACTTTAGGAAGAGACTCACTGTCCAATGCCGATACCGCCAATGAATCGGCCAACGACAAGCATAGCGTAGCTGACAGCAGCGGTCTGAAGGGCAGAACCGATAACGAACACCACCACAGCAACCATGAGCGATCGTTTCCTGGAAATCCAATCCGCAATCCATCCTTGGTTTATAGCTCCGATGAATGCTCCCAGTGTTATCATAGCCGTCATGAGACCTTTTTTGAAACCTGCACCGGGTGCATGGTCGGAGACTTCGGGGAATCGTTCGAGAAAGTGTTCCATTACCAGGGTGACGCTGATGACGCCTTGGTCATAGCCAAAGAGAAGCCCACCGATGGCCGAGAAAGCGGCACACATCGCGACGTAAGGCGAGGAGAAGAGTCCACGGAAACCTGACGAGTGAGCTAATTTTCAAGAAACAGACAGGTCATCAGGGGGCAATTTCATACCAGACGGGCCGTAGGGCTCAATTGGCAGGCTCATGCCGGCGTGTTCTTCTGTCTTGACGCCATATTCGTCAAGTTTAGACTCGGCGGCTGGCTCAGCGTTCTTGCCCATGGTGCAAGTGGTGATGATGACGATGGCAGCACTGGGAAAACTTTTCGAGGTACTCGGAATTTAGTCAAGGATGAGTGCTGGTGAGAAACGAGGCTGGGAAGAGGAGGCAACGCGAGTCTTATATAGCCCGAGGCTTGAGCTTTGAGCGACAATCGATCACTCCAATTATATGTCTCTTCGTCGACAATGTTTCAGTACGACCAATAGAGGTGAAGAGATTATTCTGCGTCTTCCCCATACCATGGGGTAGAACGGGGTCTGGGGTACTTCCAAGCGACTTAACCGAGTCAGCTAAGAGACACTAATGACATGCTCCTCCAGTCCGGGGAAGCGAATCACAGGTGGTTTCACAGCTAAAAGTGGAGTGTCACCAGCAGACTTAACCAAGTTGAATCGGGGGTTTTGCCCTGGGCAGGATAAAACTAGAGCGTTGCCCCGAGAGTCGGACCTTTTCCCTCATTCATGCATCAATAATCATAGCATATTTGAAATATAATCGGCACAAAACTCCCCTCGAACAGGCCACAGGCGAGGCAGAATGAGCAGACCCGGTACATCGAATGCATGCCTGGTAAGTCTCTCCTAGCCAATATCCCTCACCCAGCTTCCCCTTTCTGACGAGGTTCTAGACCTGTAGAGAGCAACATCTCAAGTGTGTTTGGAGTCCGGAGAACCTTGAGGGGCCCTCTAGAACATGCCTCCGGTGTGTTTCCGCAGGAAGGGTTTGCACATTCGCCCCGGCCTTCCGCTTTAAGCATTCGAGCGGGTAAGCATGCCCTGTGCTCAAAGCAAGAAATAAAGCGGATTGATATTAACTGAGCGCGTTCAATGACGCAGGCCATTCGGCAGAGAACAATCGTGGGTCCGCTGCCCCAGGCGGTGTGAGTATTATATCCTGATGTAGAGGATGCTCAAATTGATAAGTGTAGCTGACAGAGAAGAAGTACGATTTGTTGACGAAACACTGGACATTGAGAGCCACTACGTCTCAGGACCCAACTCCTCATTGCAAGGTGATTATGAAGAGCCAGATCAATCCTCCGAAGGAACGATAGAAGTCATCGACGCAGAATCGTTTGAGGTGATTCCCGACCGCATAAACAACTCGATACACGATTCTCCCTTGCCCGCTTCAAAATCATACGATGCTCTACCACGGACCGAACTTTACAGACAATATGGTCCCATCCCACACAATTCATTGCTGAGATTAGCCAGTGTCGAATCCGTCTCAATACCTCTTACAAGGCCGCACGAGGTGCGGCTAATGAAATACTACTTGGAGTACATGTGCACTTGGGTAAGTTTCCTTCAGCTAGCAAAATCAACGAACATCAGACTGAGTGCTTTAGTTTGATCTCTGCGATTGTCGTAGCCATTTCGCCAACATTGTGCCTTACAGGGCTGCCAACAGCCCGACCCTTCTCAACGCCATCTTCGCCTTGTCATCAAGACATCTCAGTCTAAACGGGGGATATGATCCATACGCATCCGATCGATACCATCAAGAATGCCTCAAACACCTGTCTACCATATCTGGGGACTCGACAGACCTCGCAAACGATGATTTACTAGCTGCCACCATTCTGCTTCGGACGTTAGAGGAGCTCGATGTTCCACTCCTTGGTACCGATCTTGAGGGTCATCTTCTTGGGATACAACTGTTCATGAATACACCAAACTCAACTTCGCCTCCGAGTAGCCTTCGGCAAGCGTCATTTTGGATAGGCCTGAGACAAGAAATAACAATGAGTTCTGCTACGCAAAGACCAGTCAAGATCAAGCTTGACCACGCCTTCATTGACCGGTCCTTTTCCCCAGCCGACGACGATACTTGGGCGAATCGCATCATTGTACATTGCGCAGAAGTAATGAATTATTGCTTTGGAAATGGAGATCGCAATATGGTAGAATATCAAGCGCTCGTTGACTATGACCAAGGCTGGCTCAGGGCTCGGCCGGTGTCGTGGCTGCCGATAGCCTATAGTGAACCACTTGAATCACATGATGAAGTGTTTCCCAATATCTTATATCTTAACCATGCCGTTGGTAAGTTAGAGAGATTCATTCGACTGTGGAAATCTTGCTGACTGTTCCGCAGTCATTGGCATTGCTCATGGTATCTATGCGCGTCTGCTACTCATGTGCCATGACGACCGTGGTCCGCGGGTGGGACCATCAGCCCGAATATCCCGAAAAAGGATTGATGTAAGCCAGTATTCCAAGCAAAATTTCACTTTCAACTCCCCGCTAACGATTCAAGGATAATATACGAATGCAGTTGCGAGAACTATGCGGAATAGCTCTGTCGAATGTCGCCACGAGACCAGCCATGTTTACAGCGTGCATGGGCGTTACTGCCTGTGGCGATCGGTTTACTGATAAGAGGGATCAGGATGCGCTTCTTAATGTGTTGACGTCAACTGAAACGAAACATTCCTGGCCCACGGCGGCAGCGCAGGCACATTTGAAAAGAGCATGGGGCTGGGAAGAGTCATGATATCAAACTGCTCGAATATAGTTGGCATACATTCAATAAGAATCTCGTGCATAACATCATGCTATATCCCAGTGTAGTGAAAAAGTTAACAATGCTATGCTCAGACCAGCCACTAACTCTTAGTCATAGTCGTTCTCTGTTGAGGGCTGACGTCCCAGATTTCACCGAGGCACTACAGCGGCGAATGAGTAAATCTATGGAGCGATTTGTAAACTGTCACCTGGGCAATTACGTCAAACGAGGGAAAACGGGTTTATTCTACTGGTTTTTGGGTATATATATTTTGGCTGGAGTTTGTAGTATATCGATGGTAGGGTAGATGTTTTGGGAAGTAGAATGTCAAAAACCATTCAAAACGTTTCCTCTATTTCCCCCCTATTTTATTCGCCTTTCCCCTTTGTCTTTTTTCCATCCTTTGGTTAGGGAAGGGGGACTTTCACCTTTCCCATGACAAGGTGAGCTGTGCTCATGAACGTCTATCGGAATAATTTCCCGAGGAGGCGCAAAACCAGCGAATCCAAGAGGTTTCCGAAAACCCCTCAGGCCTTAGCCTCATCATCTCGGGGATGTGCGCGGACGTGCGTCACTGTACATATTCCACTTTCTGAAGCAACTTCTCCGCAACTTTGGTTCCCCCCTGTATCGAAAAGCGCTGCGACTTGAGGCCTGAACACCGCTTTTCTCCACACAAGCCCCGAAGTTATGGTATACCGAGCCAATCAGAGCCTTGCCAGCCATTGAGGTCCCAAGACAATGAATCGGGGTGTTTTGCCCCGACAAGTTTTGGCTAAAAGTCCCGAATACCTGGACGTGATCGGCACGAAAAAGAGCAATGAGATTTTAGTAGCATTGTCGATGAACGGTACTCGCATACGACTCAGTTGTGCAAGTTGCACAAATGGGAAGATGAGTTGGCATCTATATATTCCTACGAGCCCCGTAGGAGAATAATTCCTGGGGCAGCCATCCATCTTCTTTGCGACACTCTGTCATCATACAATTATCCAACATGGCGTCCGTGAAGCTTCAAATAGGCGTCGCCGGCCTCGGTCGGATGGGCAAAAGACACGCTCTTAATTTTCTGCAAAACGTCCCACGTGCCTCCTTGGTTGCCGTCAGCACCCCCGACCCTGATGAGCGTCAATGGGCAAAGGAAAATCTCGCTCCCCACGGCGTAGCTGTGTATGAAAAGTACGCAGACCTCGTATCCCACCAGGGCCTCACGGCCGTTTGCGTGGCCTCTGCTACTGCAGTACATGCCGAGCAAGCTATTGCTGCCATTTCGGCAGGGAAACATGTCCTGTGTGAGAAACCGCTTGGCATATCAGTTGAAATTGTAAGTATCTAAAAGTCCTCTGAATTGTTCTGGTCAGGAAATCGATCATCTGCTTACACCCTCCAGTCTCAAACTGTCGTCGATGCTGCAGCTGCTCGGCCAGACTTGAAGGTCATGTGTGGCTTTTCCCGTCGCTTCGATGCCTCATACCGGGATGCTCATTCTAAGATGCAATCAGGGATGATTGGGCGACCATCTGTGCTTCGAAGTCAGACCTGCGATGTTTTGGACCCGTCCGGCTTTTTCGTTGCATACGCTGAGTTCTCAGGTGGAATCTTCGTCGACTGCAGTATCCACGACATCGATTTGGCGTTGTGGTTCTTTGGGGAGGACGCCAAGGTCCGATCAGTACATGCAGTAGGAATAACAGCGGTAGAGCCTGACCTACGCAAGTATAACGACCGAGACAATGCGGTCGGTGTCGTGGAATTTAACGATGGCCGGATCGCTTATCTCTACGCCTCTCGCATGATGGCTGCTGGCCAAGAGGATGCAACAGAAATCATTGGGACCAAGGGTAAATTGACGGTGAACATGGTCCCGACAGAGAACCATGTACGGATCTATCAGCCAGGAGGGATCCGACATGAGCTGCCTCAGAACTATTGGGGCAGATTCCGCGCTGCTTTCACTACAGAGGCCATTGAGTTTACGGACTCTGTGTTGAACGATACCCCAGTGCCTGTCAAGTTGGAATCGGCGGTCACAGCAGTACGGATAGGTGCAGCATTGCAAAAGTCGATGATTACGGGGGAAAAGATTGTCTTTGATGACTCTGGTTCAGAAGGCCACAGGGCTCGACTGTAACTTGGGAATGAAGGTGCATAATGGGATTAGATTTCTAGAATCGTGAATAGATAATCATATAGCAAAATCAACTCTTAAACAAGGGCTTTTCGTTTTGATTGCCACCCAAAGAGCACTCGGGGGGATGAAATTACGGAAGTTTAACTCGGATCCATCGGCCGCTTTGGATCGCACACGGTTACATATTTGGAGTTGCATTGGCAGGAAGAATTGTTCCGAGTTTCTGGAATAGGATCGGGTGACTGTGATTATCCCTTTCCACCCAAGTGGCTGAAATAAAACATGGCACACCAAAGGCCTTCTCACATAAGGTAGGGAGTAGATTTTCATGTAAATAACCCTAAATATAATCAGAAAAAAAAATAAAAAATAAAATTCTCTAAAATTGCATTTGTAACTAGCTTAATTGTTTGAGTATTATGTTGAAATTCAATGCTGGAGGTTCTGGGTGTGCCATGTTTATATCAGTTGCATGCCACCTTTGCCCCTCACTTAGTCGGTCACACATGAAGTAGCATTAAAATGAGCAAGCACAAGATTCTAGTACATATTGGGAATCCGGAGTCGAACCTCCATGTAGAACCGCGGTGCGTCTCAATTCATATACCTTTTGGCTTCGAGTTCACAATCCCTGATCTAAGCAGCACGCTGCTGTCACCCGATATTCCGCCCCGCATAAGAAGGAAATGTCGGCACACGCATAGACTATTAAGACAGTCGCATTGTCACGGATTGGCGCGGATAATCCCCCAAGGCCATTGCGACCATGGACGGAGACGGTGGCAGTTTAGGGCCTAGGTTCTGGATAATCTCTCGGCATGAGACGAGTAGCAGGTATAAGTTCAAAGCAGGCCCAACATTTTCTCCGAGTTATCACTGCACAATGTGAGGACACCTGAGTGAAGTTCGCAGTTATTAGTTACTACCTAAACAACCGCCATGATTCGATATGTCCGTGCGATTTTGCTGGCTCTCGCGGTCGGCTCACTGACAGCTGCTGATACCACAACAACAATCGACCCCGACTCTAACTGGGGTACTTGGGAGGGATGGGGAACCTCACTTGCCTGGTGGGCTGCTGCATTTGGGGGGAGAACCGACCTCGCGGACATCTTCTTCACTCTGGGCACGACGACGTTCAATGGCCAGACATTGCCAGGCCTTGGCTTCAACATCGCTCGGTATAATGCCGGAGCCTGCAGCTCAAACACCTACAACGGGAGCACCATGGTTGTTTCTCCTAGCATGATTCCGTCGCGTCAGATTCAGGGTTACTGGCTCAATTGGGCCAGCACCGACCCGAGCAGTAGTAGTTGGGACTGGTCTCGAGACTCCAACCAGCGCACGATGCTGCGCAACGCCCGTGCCAGAGGTGCCAACATCCTTGAACTCTTTTCCAATTCGCCGATGTGGTGGATGTGCTACAACCACAATCCGTCTGGGTCAGATGATGGCAGCAGCGACAATCTACAGTCTTGGAACTACAACCAACACGCGGTCTACTTGGCCGCTATTGCCAAGTACGCAAGCCAGAACTGGGGTCTTACATTTCAGTCTGTGGACCCATTCAACGAACCGTCTGCCTCCTGGTGGAATGGAAAAACAGGGACACAGGAGGGTTGCCACTTCAATGTTGCCACGCAGGCAACGGTGCTCGGATACCTTCGAAGCGAGCTGGATAGCCGTGGTCTAACTGGGACTCTCATTTCCGCATCGGATGAAACCTCATATGACGCCGCCGTATCAACATTCAATTCTCTTGGGTCCAGTGCCCTCAGCAAGGTCAACCGCATTAACGTGCATGGGTACCAGTACGGTAGCGGAAGGCGAGACACGCTGTATTCACTGGCCTCTTCAGCAGGCAAGAAGCTGTGGAACAGCGAGTACGGTGAGAGCGATGCCACAGGCACACGGCTGGTGAGCAATCTCATGCTGGACTTTAGATGGCTAAAGCCAACTGCTTGGGTATATTGGCAGGTCTTGGACGGCGGAGGATGGGGCTTGATCGATGCTGACAACGATGCTCTGACGATTGGATCTGCCAACCAAAAATACTTTGCCTTGGCTCAGTTCACTCGACACATCCGTCCTGGTATGGTGATCCTTGATGGTGGCAGTTCGAACACTGTCGCAGCCTACGATGCCTCCGCCAGAAAGCTGGTCATCGTGGCGGTTAATTGGGACAGCGCACAATATCTGAACTTTGATCTTTCCAAGTTTACCCAGCCAGGGGTCAACGGTGCGCTCGTCCGGCGTTGGAGCACTCAGCTCACAAGCGGGAACCGATACGTTGCCTACAGTGACACCTACATCAGCGGTACCAAGTTTTGGTCATCCTTCAGTACAGGCACCGTCCAAACTTTTGAAGTAGACAACGTCATTCTATAACTCTACATGTTATGTTTATGTGAAAGATTGGAGAATTAGTTGAAGGAATATTTTGGAGTGGTCAAATCAATATAAACTGTCATAAATCTCATCACATCTTGATACTGTAGCTCAATATCGTATATATTCGAGAAGGGTTCTAGTTGTTAACAACAACACACATGCCATTACCATAGTTGTAGATCATCTGAGAGAGAGCAAAGGTAATTTGATATACAAAGGCAAAAACTAAATGTACTGATTCTTTATAATATGATGTCGCTCCTCATTTATGACCAGGCCTTTTTCCAGTTTGCGACGCATTTCGCAAGCAGTCCGCTCTTAACAACATCAAACCCACCCCTAATTGCCTGGCTCCTGTCTTCTGTCTTCTGTGTCTCAAACACCAGCCCGCTCCTCCCAGGCTTGTCATTGTCATACTTATCGGCAAAGAAGTCAAGCAACTTCACCGTCGGGTTCAGCGTTGGATCTTGTTCACCGTCGCGAAGCCGCTGCACCCATTCACGCTGGCTCACAATCTCAAATTCCAGCCCAGCAGCTGCGAGAGCAGGAAGGATGTCTTTTGTCCACTCTGATGTGTGAGGGTTCTGGACATGGTAGACAATGTCAGCATCATCTCGTCGCTGGAAATAGCCCTGCGTCCTGTTGCCTCCTTCTGCCAGGCTCGTCAGCTCCAGGACTGCCTGGGCGGACTTGTCAACCGGCAACCACGATGGTGTCTCATCCAGGGCGGGCAATGCACCCAAGGTAACAGCGGCACGGAACATGAGCGGGATAGCTTCAGTGGGGTTCCAAAGTCCCATAACCGAGTCGCCAATGATTTGGCCTGAGCGAAGAACGCGAGCTTCCATCCCAGTGGATGACGCAGCGGCCTTGATAATGTGTTCGGCCACCCATTTGCTACGAGCGTAGCCCATGTTCTGCGCGTGGCCTGACTCTCTGACAACTGTCTCTGCAACCCGACTAGGAGATGGTGTTCCCGCTGCTGCAGAAATGGAGGAGATGAACGAGAGGCGGGCAGGTCTGCTGAATGGCACAGAGAGGCAGAGATCCAGAAGGTGGCGGAGGCCGGCAATATGCTGCGCTTCAAAGCTCCGGACTTTCAGGGTGAAGTTTACAGCCCATGCGGAGTGAACGACGGATGTGACTGTCGTACGTAGGGATTCGTATACTGTTGACCCTAAGCCAAGATCAGACAGGCTTAGGTCTGCAGGTAGGGCTGTGAACTTGGCTGAGTGCTGGGATGATGGCAGGCCGCCTTCTCTTAAAGAGGCTATGATTCTGGCATGAGCTGAGCTATGATGAGGTGATAGCCCTCGGGTATTCAAGGAATCAAGTACTCGCTCTTGCGCGGCAGTTGGAGAGTTAGCCCTCACAAGGCAGTAGACGTGGGTAATGTGTGGAAGGGAAAGGAGTTGCGAGAGAATGTGTGCTCCCAATGAACCTGTTGCTCCGGTGAGGAGCTGTCATCATCTCGTTAGCAGGAGTCAGCTTTGCAAGTCCTTGGGAATGATTACTTACGACGACTTCCCTTTCAGGGACAGAAGTGCCGGCTTTAAATGGCTCGAACTTGGAGTACTTGGCCACAAGCTCCTCCATAATTTCCTCTTCCTTCTTCTCCACGATCGTGGATCCGGTTCTGAGAGACACCAGGTATTCTGTAAGTCGAGTGATGTTTGGGTAATCAAACACCACGTTCTGGCCCAATACATTGCCACCCAGGTCTAATTCTCGAACGAGGTGAGAACGAGCATTAATGGCCTGCAAACTGTCCATTCCAGCGGCAAAGAAGTCGGTCTCGTTATCCAACACCTGTATACCAACACGCTCAATGAGGAGATTTCTCAAGTAATCCCGTAACTCGGGACCCTCTAATGCTAGACGCTCCCCGTCACCTGCTGAAGTCTCAAAACTCTCGTAGACGGATTCAATTAGGTCGTGGAAATGCTGATAGCATGCAGCGCGAATGACTGTGCCCTTGTCTGTACGAGGGTAGGCGGTGCCAGCCGGTAGGATAGCCACCATCTCACGAGATATTCTTCCGAATTGTTCTCCCTTTTGGTTTGCATCGTCAATGATCGGCCAGAGTTGGTCTAGAAGCTCTTCGGCCGATGTAGCCGCAGCGCAATCACTAGGCATGATGAGAAGGCCGGGAAAGGCCTTGCCGACGCCGAAGACAAGACAGTCCTGGACCAGCTCGCTTTGCCGGACACGATGCTCGTACGGGACGGGAAGAACCTTTTCCCCATTGAAAAGGGTGACCCGATCATCGAGACGTCCAAGATATTTCCAGGCGTTAGGGATTGTGGGGTGTTTCACAAAAGTGTCTCGAGTTCGATACGAGTTTGGCGGGCTGTCAGAATTAGATATAGTTTTGGTAGGTAGCCCGTCAAGTACCACCAGCTCAAAAATTCCAGCGGTGATCTCATCAAACCAGAGATAAGGCTTGACCTTCTCCAAGGGTCTGACGTAGTTCCAACATTTGTCAACCTTGGGATCTCTTTGAGAGGTCATGAGCTGGCCCATTTCAGTTCTGTTTTTCGTGTTAGTTGAAACTGGACTTGAACTATCCTCTGCTTTGACTTACGCTCCATAGTGTGACACAACATTGA